TGTGCATACGTACGGTGTACAAATTCTTCGGGTGAAAAACACTATAGATAGCCATTGTCTTCTCGAATTCCTCAAAGCATTATGTTTGAACGATCGCGACCGATTGAAAGCGAATCATCAATCCGGCAGGGCAATCGGACTCGAGGAGATTCGACAGGAAAGCAAACACGAAGCTGCGGAAACGCGGGGAGGAATGGCGGGACGCGGTGTACGTGGACGACGCGCCGATAGACGGGCCGAATCTCTACGTAATTCTCACCTGTTTCCACGATCCTGACCTGCCCCAGCAGCTGATAAACGTGGGCGTGCCACTGCGCTGCTTGATGCAGATCAAACGTCCCGGCGAGCGTCTCGTTCGCGGCGGTAACGTCGAGACAAGACCCGGGAAACTGTACTTCCTCGAGGAGTACAGCGCGCGAGTGCTCAAGCTGTACAACTTTTGGACAAAGCTCGAAGGACGAACGAGGGACCCCGTGGCGAATCCGGAGCTCAGCGATGTCGGCTTCCTTGTGTTCTCGCCGCCAAGGCTCAACGAGGAATCGTCGAAGCAGGACGAGGCGTTGAAGAAAGACACGTACGACAGAGTGGCGTGCATCCTGTACGATTTCTACGACCTTTACAGGCAGCACGCTAACTACTTGAAGAGCATGAGGGTGGAGGGGGGCATGGAAGCGGATGGAAGCACGATGGAGACAGCGAACACGCAGGTTTATGAGACGTTGTTGGATGGATTCCCTTCGGAGTGCGTCTCCGTGCCGCTGATATTGTTCGCGATACTGACGCAAGTCGAGGCGAACGAAAGGGGAACTATCGCGGAGAGTTCTGCTGCTACTGAGAACGTGAGTTCATATCATATAATATTTCGTTTTGGATTATTTGGATATTTGGTTAAATTGTAAATTGTATTCGTATCTAGAGATTGTGTTTAATTGTGTTAAATTGTATTTATGTTTAATTTGTGTTGAATTTGTATCCAAAAAATTGTACACTTAATTATAAATTATATCGTGTCGAAATTAAATTTAACTTGTGTTTAATTTGTATCTAAAAATTGTATTTAGTTAATAAATCGTATTGTGTGAAATTCTTTGGTGAAATTGTAGATTGAATTTAACTTGTGTTTAATTTACATTTGAAAATTGTATTTAATCATAAATTGTATTTTTTTTTTTTGACGTGTGCAATTCAGAACGATTTTTCAATTTTTCTAAAGTCAAAACTTGAGAAGTTAATCACCAGTTACAGAATCAGTTAATTTCAGTGTATGACAACGTTCGAGTTGTAAAATTGGATAAACAAGTGATTTAATCTTGAAGTAATTTTTTATATTTATAAAACTTATTTTATATATTATAAAACTTATTTTTTATATTTATAAAACTTAGTTATCGCACAAGTAATTGCTAAACTGAAGTATGCAGGAATAAGTCTTGGAAAAATTTTGACAAATTTTTGATACAAAACGTAGACACGAATACTATAATTTTAAATTTCGATAAGAAAAATTGAACGAATAAATTCAAAATAAATAACAGAAAATAATATACAAGAATTACAAAACAGACATTACACTTCAATCTTGAGAAAAAATCGAGAATTTCAATATAATTCTGAAACGAAATTTCAATGACCAAAGCAGCATGGCGTAGAAACGGAAACGAAGACGAATAAATCATCGGCCGTCCCTCTCGCTTTCGAGGAGAAGATCAAGAGCCTGGATATTAAATACAATCTGGACGACGAAGAACGCAGCATCGACCACGACGGGCGAACCATCGGTGACATTAAACTAATTCTTCAGGAGGACAGCCTGCTAGAAGCAATCCGTCTTCTCGATGACTCCGCGATTCAACGGATGATCGCCGACCCGACAGATATGATCGACAGTATTCTGCCCGTCTTCCGGCACCCGGCGATCGCGAATTTTTTCCAAAAGAGCGCAACCACCGAGGGAAAGTCGAACGAGTACGCCCGTCACATCGATAACATTCGACGTTACTTTGACGGCGAGGTGAACGACGAAGAAGTCCGACATCATTTGCACGTGTTAATGTTCGACAGAATGATGTCTCGATTGAACGGGTTCGAAACGACGGAGACAGAAACGTCTGAGGTTATTAATGACGCGACGACGAAACGGGAGGATTCAAACGATGGTGAGTTATCTAAAATAACACCAGAAATGAAGTGTAAATAAAAACATACGATATAACGGAAGAAATTATTATAACATCACGTAACATAAATCATTGTATCGTTACAACTGCTCCAATAAAAATAGTTATTAAGAATTATTATTCGAAACGAAATGACAAAGAAAATACAGTCTTACTGAAAGATATTTTCAAAAGAACTATAATCCTTTATCTCCACATTTTTTTCTTTCTTTAACGTGTTGTCAAGTTCGACGATCACGACGTGAAAAATCTCAACTGGAGATTGTGTATACCATCGTGGCACGTCGATTTCCATATTTTCGGAGAAACGTGTTTCACGAATTAGATGGTGCAACAATTGAAGCGAATACACCTGCCAATCCACAGAGTGGCCAGAAGCTTCCCTAGAACGTTGCAAGTCTCTGCCAAGCTTCTCGGCGAAACCGGCGCGCGAGCTGCGCTTCCTCAGCGACGGGGACATCGATTACGGGAAAACGGTACCGGAGGAGATCGTCCGGTGCTCACCACTGTTCGATCTGATAGACCCGCGCGTATTATTGGCGCCCAGTTACTTGGCGAGGAACGTGGAGGACTTCACCGACGTGCAGCTACTGCCCGAAGCGATTTCCCTGCAGCTTGTTCACCGATGTTTCGCGGCGTTCGACCGCCTGGCTACTCGATACTTCGAGCCCACGGACACGCTGTTGCTCTGCTTCTACAACGACCGGCGAGTCGACGGCGTGCACGAGGAGGAAAGAACGTCGAGCATCCGGACGCCGGTCCGGCTACGCGATTTCTGCGAGTACGTGGCCCCGGAAGAGAATGACTGGCTACGCCGCGAGGAACAGCTGCACCGACTCCGAACGGCCAAGTCGCTGGAGAGATTGATGAGAAGGAGCTCCGAGATATACGAGGAGACGATGCTGTTCCGCGACGAGGATTTCATCCTCCCCGGCACGCTGAAGGCGAGGGATTTGCAGGCCAGGCGGAAGGCTAGTTTGGAAGACGGTGAGCGGCTGGTTTGTTGCTTCGAATCCAAGTTCGAGTTGACTCAAGAATCAAAATATCTTTTGCATATATCGGGGAAATTTAATCCTCTTGGTGGTTGTTTTAAATTTCGAATCATTCTTCGGCTTAGAAGGAATATTTGGATTCGATAGAATATTTTTTTATTAAATTCGAAACTTTTTTTTTGCTTTGAAATATATCAAATGATACTAATATTAGTGATTATTCAGTAATTATACATCGAAATTCTTTAACTCCGGGGATTAAAATATTTTTCTTGTAATTGGAGAAATTTTGTTAAACGAGAAGTTTCGATTTTAAATTTGGAATCTCTTTTTCGCTTAGAATATTTAGATGTTAGATCCAAGAACCTCATCCTTGCTTGTCAATATTCTTCATTAAATTCGAAACATTTTTGTTTTCGTTGTAACATTTAAATAATACTAATGATTACTTATATAATCAATATTTGTTATCCATTAATTATAATAATATACTATTTAACACTAAACGCACCAAGCGGGGTCAAATGAGCCCTTTTCAAAATTTACTTTAAAATCGTACATTCGTTGTTATTTCTTTCGCTTAATCTGACTTTTTGTAAATTCTTATATTACCTTACTTTTTGTAAATTCTTATATTATCTTGTAAATTCTTATTCAATTTCTCGTTTCCTGTTTTTCTCTTAGCTTCTCTTACTTTTTACCGAGAAAAATTCTTTGCATACCTTATATACCGCGAGGGGTCATTTGACCCTTTATGGTAAGATAGGTATATGTAAAATTTATACGTTTAGTGTTAAATAAGACATATGATATATTATGCTAAATTTCACGAGCTAAATTTCTATCATCCATGAAAATTGAATACTTAGTTGCTTGCAGGACAATGCAAATAATAATTCGTATCACGCGTTATATTTGCATACTGTGACACTATTTCACAATATTCCACTTTACATAATTTTTCTCTCGCGTCGAATGCAACATTTACTTGCCGAAACGTAATATACTACACGATACGATGACTTCCAAACATATTTACTTCCAATTTCTCCCACAATTCTGTCACGGTAGTGTACGAAACACAATAGTAATCAAATGTGCGACCTTCTTTCACAGACGTATCGTCCAATACCTGGACAGAGAAGACGTCAAAGGCCGAGAAAGAGAGGGCGAAGAAGAGAGGCAAAAGGAAGAGCGACAAATCGACCAGCGCGAGAAACTCGGTCGACGTCAAAACTTCTACGTTGATTACTGGAAAAGTGTCACCGCGCCATCCTGCCGACCAGGCCGAGAGGGAACCAGTTTATGATTTCGTTGGCTACGATCTCGGGAGACTTCGCGTACAAGTGACAAATCGCAGGAGAACGTTCCGTTCAGCCGACGACACCCTGGTCCATGTCGAAGTGGACGATTGGCTTTACAAGGCCAAGCATTTGAGAATCACCGTCACCATGCACGAGAACAGTCTACGATTTTCCCGCAGGATCGACGACGCTCCCGAAACGGACGAGGTGTTCCATTTCACGAGCAGGCTGGGAATTATCCTTGCTTTTCAGAAGCTGTCGTCGAATCGTCCACGTAAGATAAACATCTTAGAAATTTATATTTTAGAAATTTCTCCGAGTCACTATTCGCTCAGAATTTCCAAATTTGAATCAGATCGAGGATTTTCGTGCATTTGAAAATGCAAGAGTGTCCAGACTGTTGGACAATTTAATTCCTACGCACCCTTCGAAATAAATTTCAATTAACCAAGTTCAAAGTTATCTCAATTCAATCACACGTCTTATTTCCCCAAAAATATTAATCACAAGTACGTTGCATGAACTACAAGTATCCAATAATTTCACAAAGTATACAAGAGAATCGTAAAATTCATTTATATTAAAAATCAACTACAATTGCATGTACAATTACATTTACATTCTCAAATCAAATTGAAATCAATCACCATTCGAATTGACGAAATTAATTGAAATTAACGAGCAATTCAATTTAAAC